CCTCCTAGCCATAGCTCTGGTTACTGGGCCCCTGGCCCATGGTCTATCAATATATTTCTCAATTTAAATAAAATTAACTATATAATATTAAAATATATTAATAATAAATTATTATTTTTTATTATTATTTAATTATAAATTATATATATGTAATAGTTAGTATGGTAAATTAATTAGCATGAGAAAATTAATTAAGTATTTAAATATTTAATTTGTTAATTTTTTATTATTAAATTTTTTAATGTTATCAACGAATTTTTTTTTTCATTTTTTTATGAATAATATTTTAGATATAGATAATTCGTGAAAAATATTTGTCTAAAATATCAAATAAATTTCAGATAGAAAAAATTCGTGAATAATATCTGTCCAAATCAATTATATTTCAGACGATCAGAAAAATCTGTCGATAATATTATTTTTCAGATAGAAATTTATCTGTAGAAAAAAGTTTATCCATAATAAGTAAGTGTTTTTTTTTAGTGATATACATATATAGGTCACATGAATATCCAAATATTATATAGTATGAAATATCTAATATAGTAGAATATTTTATGTTTTCTGGTACATACCGACTCTGTTATACAAATTTGATTAATTAAAATTTTTAACTTGATTAAAATAAACAAAATTTAGATACAATATATAATAGTTAAGATATAATACTATAATACTTATAGGATTGATGTAATGTTCTCAAATTATAATTAAAAATTTAATTTAATAATATATTTAAATTGAATACAAATTTTGATAATATAAATTTAATAGAATTCAACGAAAATATAAATGCTACAAAAAATTTTTTCATGACACACACCTATAATAACACTAGGTATCTCATTAAAAATTACTTTTACCTACACAAAAAACTACAATATATATTAATATATTATTAAAAATGTAAATATATATTATAATAATATACAAAATATGTTATTAAATCTCATTTAAAATTAACAATAAAATTATATGTAATTATATGTTAAATAAATATATATCTATATATATATTATATATAGAAGTACAGTCACTACTATTGTAGTGAAAGAATAGGCAAGTTTTATCCATTAAAAAATGAGTTCAAAGGAACTGGAACTAAATTTTATTTATTTAAAAATGGGTTAAGTTGGAAGCCGTGAAATATTTCTTAAAATAAAAAAATGTGGCTAATTACATTTTGATTGGTTTGAATAAATTTATCAAAAAAGTATTTATAAGAAATAAATAATAAAGATAAGTTGTATAAGTTAAAATTATCTAACTAATTTATAAAAATTTTCTTTTATTAATCTCTAAAATATTAATTTAGTTTTAAATTATAAATAAGTTTATTTTAATTTTCCTTTTTTTTTTCTACAAAATTTCCCATTTTCTGACAGAACAAATATGTAAGTTAGAATTATTTTAATTAGAATAATATTTATACTTATCAAATAAATTTATATTAATAATATACGAATTTATCTTTTTCCCTGATAATAAATTATACTAATATTTAAAATGATATTATCATATATAAATTCACATACCAGATTATATTATTAATATAAATACACCATATTATAAAATTTTAATTTAAATACTGTCAAATATAAAACATTTTTATACAGATGTCCAATACAATTTCACTCTATTGCCGTGTTATATTATGAAATATAGAATGAAATCATCAAATTCTATCAAATATAGATGGATTAAATTTTACATACATAAAATTGAATGTAAAATGTATAAATTAAATTTATATTTTTATAATAAAATTAATATTAACGATGTTTTATAAAGGTTATATTATGAAATATGAATAGTTAATCCAACACTAAAACCTTAATAAATGATTTTTTTTCATATCGATAAAGGAAATATGAAAAGTTAAATCTATTAATAGTAACCTTGTTTCTTTCTTGAAAGAATGATAAAGGAAATAACGATAATGATTACCTAAACGATAAATAGTCCAATCATAAATGAAGAAAAAGAAGTCACGAAGGAAAAAGAAAACCAGAAGCCCAATATAAGAAAAATAATTCATAAGGGCTATACTTATACATATATATTAATAATATATTACTCAGTAAAAGAAGAACATAGATTAATACAGTCATACACAAAAACTATCTATAAGAATAATATTATTATGATATAGGGAAAGTAATTAATAGTTAATTAGATGGGGATGGCATTGGTGACTGAAGGGTAGATAACAGTAGCGGGATGAGCCATTATTTTGCGACCTTTCATGTGCTTAAAGCAATACACAAGAGCTCCGACCGGCCACTCCACCACCGCCGCCGCCGCAAACGCCAGGAATCCGAGTGTTGGCCCCACCACCTTGCACCGGCAAGGGTTGCTCGTCGTCCCACATTGCACGCAAATTGGAACCATCTTCAATCAAAATAAGTACTTTGATTTGTGTATACAACAATGTTATGTTATGAAGCTGATGTAGTAGTACTATGTAATGTATATGTAACTGATTTTTGTTCATGCTCTTGCTCTAGTTTGAGACCTTAATTGGTCTGTTTTTATATAGTAATGTTGGGAGGAATGAGATTATTTTGGGTGCTGTGATTGGAGGACTTGGGTTGTGGGTTTAAGAGCTACGTGTCTGCATGCAAAGGCATATTTTTACACGTGTCGTCATTTGCTTCACCTACTAGACACGTGTTTCTTTAGATCTTATCTTGTTGCTAAGTCCCTCGCACGTGTCGTTATTAGCTCGACATACTTCATCCTTTTTATTACATTCAAAAGAGTAACTTGTATTCCATACAGTTTTATATGGTTTTGGATTGGATTCATATTTTTGGATTAGATTCTCTCACCGTCGACAATAAACATATATAGAACAATAAATAGACAGACATTTTTTCTTTTTAAGAGAATCGTGGTGAGTCATACATATAATTGTAAGAACACTAAAATAAAATATATAAGTCGAGAATAAAATATTATTCGATAAAATAAACAATCTTATGAGTTAAGTATATAATATTGAGTAAGTTCTAAATTTAATTTCTCAAAAGAGTATTACAATATATTTTAATGCTAATATTTGTTGTCTAATTAATTATTAATCTTTAAATATCAAAATCTTAAATTTGATGATTTTAAAGACTTTTTTTTTTTAAATATATCATTTTATTTTAATATTTTTGTAAATATTTTATATTACATTTTATTTACTTAAATATACTGTAAGTGAGAAATCGGTCGATCAATAAATGATTTTTTATTTTTATTTTAATCAAAATATTTAATATCCTTTTGAGAAATCGGTGGTTCCAAATTGATTTCTCATCGGGTCTTTTTTTAATTTCTTTTTTGTGTGTAAATGTTTTAAAAATTATTTTAGTTATAATTAAAAATTTAAATTTACAAATTAATATATTTTATAATTTAAATATTTTAATTTTATTTAATAAATATTGATAATATAATATTTTGAATTGATTTAATAATTTAATTTCTTTTAATAAATAAAGATATTTTAATATTTTTAAATAATGTATTTATTTATTTATTTTTGTAATAAATATAGATATTTTAATATTTTTTTTAAAAATTTGTTGACTAAAAAAAATATTTTTAGGGTATTTAAGATTTTAATTTTTATTAAAAAACAGATAATTTGAAATTATTTGTTAAAATTATAAAAATATAAAATTTATTTTTTTATTTTTATTTGTCTTTAATTTGAAACATAGGAAAAAAAATAATGTTGTCATTAAGATGAACAATTTAGAAATATTTATCCCAATACAATAGGAGATGAAATAAAAGATAACAATAAAATTACAATCCAACGAATTACATAATAGGAAAATAGTTTAATAAAGTTTATGCTCACCAGTTTCACATCTTGGAGGTTGTCAGTTCCTTGTTGGGTTTCAACGACAAATGTGTGGTTGTTGTGGTTTAACTTGCTCTTCATGATGTTCTATATAAGCAGTATTCGTAGGAGGATTCAATAAAGGACTTCCACCAAACCTTAAAGTGATAAGAAGAAAATGAGGGAAAATTTATGTTTTGCATGTAATCATATGCACTTTGTGGCGTGTGTACGTTGACACCAAAAAGATTGCTAATGAAGTCCTCTATGGGAGTTGTTATTGTTGGTGGGGTGTTCATGAAGTCTTCATGTTGCATATGATATGGTGGATTCATTGAAAGAGACTGGGAATATTGTTCCACACTATAAGGTGGTTGGTTATCTCTAGCTATTGGGGTATGTGTTGGTGTTGGATAATATTGTTGAAATCCTGTTGTTGTTGGATGTTGTGTACTAGAAGTGGATGCACCAGATGAAGAATATTGGCTACAAAGAAATATTTTTGAATTTGCACGAAAACATTGCAAATATTCAGGAGTGTATTGGAGAGGCTCTTGAAGTGGTTGCCCAAAAATAATATGTTTACGTCTATCTTTCCAAATGAAAATCTAGTCTGCATGTTGTTCAGCCCAGTTGGTGTCACTGTATCCTCTCATGTCAATTTCGTGCATTTTATCAAGATTATGCACTTCATTAGGGATTGGTTGCCACAAGCCAAATTATAATTGGGCTCTTTCACTTTGATGCCAGACTATAAATGCAATTAAAGTTAAAACAGTACAAGAAGTTCATATTCTAGAATCCTTGTAATCACGTATTGGTAATGAGGACTCAAATCCTCTATATGGCATTCATAGAAACTGAAAAAAGAAAAATGTTTAGACTATAAACTATTTGAATAAAAGTTTAATCAAGAGAGTATGTTTGAGATAAGTTGACATCGTAATACCTCATTATGATTCATGTTATCATATCTTAATCTGCAGACAAGCAAATCTCCATAGGGCGTCACTGTAAATCTTAGCCCTCTTCTTGTCCATCTAAAAATATTGTACATTGATTAAAATTTACAATTTATGTGGTTGTTCGATGTATTAAAGTTGTATATAAGTTTATCCATACCTCAATGCAAGCGAATATGTAATATCTCGTTCGACTCGTGGTTGAATGAAAGACATGCGATACCAAGCTCAAGATTGCAAAAGCAAAGAACATCCACCCATTTTCTTGGATGATGGATAAATCACCCGACACATTTCTCTGTACAAATATGCCAAATAAGTAGAACCCTAACTATATTGTCCTACACGTTCTAAATCAGCCAAAAGTGGTAAATACATTAAGTGAAGTTTGTTACCTAACTTGTTTAACATTATCACACCACCAATCAACCCTAAGATATATGCTCTACAATGTTGGTGCAATTGTTGTTCAGTGGGTTTATCTAGTAGAGCAACTGTATGGTCTCTTAACCATTTTAGTTTTATGGTTGAGTCAATTAGAGTTTCCCCTTTTGGAGGTATGAATCCTAACAACTCATAACACAATTCATCTCAATCAAAGAAAGTTGGTCCAATGACTAGCTAGTTTGCCATCGATCCTCAAACCTAGCTGAAGTGCTACATCTTCCAAAGTGATCGTGCACTCACCAATTGGGAGGTGAAATGTATGTATCTTAGGTCTCCACCTCTCGACCAAATATGTTATTAGACAATCATCGATTTTAAAATATCTAATTTTGGTAACGTTCCCAAAGCTAGCAACTTCCAACAAATGTTCAATTCTTAGGTCAGGTGGAGGCATGAAATGGTAGTAAGATTGAATTACTTGACCATTTGTTGTCTGCGAATATGGTAGAATTGAAATGTTAGTAATTAATAATATTACTTGTAAAGATTATGAAATATATATTAACTTACCATAAGATGACTTTCATTAAATCTATGGAGGTGTTGTTTCCACAACATAATTGAAGATGAAGAAGACATTCTTGAAGGAGAAGAACAATGAAATTGATGAATGCAATAATAGAAGAGAAATGTGTTTCGGGTTTAATGGTATGCAGTGCATATATAATGCAAAAAAGTGAGACAATTAATGCATGCGCGTCAGGAATTAATTGCTTTATGTAATGTGTCATTGATTCAGAGTGTGATTAATGCATGCGCATAAGAAATCCAATAACTTTATGTAGTGTGTCATTGATTCAGGGCGTCATTGATTTAGAGTGTCATTAATACATGCGCATTAGGAATCCAATAACTTTATGTAGTGTGTCATTGATTCAGGGTGTCATTGATTCAAAATATCATTAATGCATGCGCGTCAGGAATCCAATAACTTTATGTAGTGTGTCATTGATTCAGAGTGTCATTGATTCAAGGTGTCATTGATTTAGAGTGTCATTAATGCATGGGTGTCAAGAATCCAATAACTTTATATAGTGTGTCATTGATTCAAGGTGTCATTGATTCAGATATCATTAATGCATATTCGTCAGGAATCCAATAACTTTATGCAGTGTGTCATTGATTCAGAGTGTCATTAATGTATGTGTGTTAGGAATCCAATACCTTTAATGATGAGTGTCAATGGTTGAACCCTATCTCCACTATCTATTGATCATTCTTGGTTTCAAATATAGAGTGTAATTGAGCTAAGTATTCTTGTTTTCAAATTGAGATATACAAACTATTTGTCTACTACAATGTCTTCCTCTTCTTTCCACGTGTTAGTCTTCTTTAATGGTGAAATCACTCAAACAAATGAAGGGGATACTTTTGTATCCTCTAACCCAATATTTTTCTCAGTTAATCCACGTATCACACTTGATGCATTGAAAGCCAAGATCTAAAGAAGACTCAACTTACCACAACCACGTTCAATTGATCAACTTTACTTCCGATATCCACAAGTGGTAGGTGGAGGAATGCTTAATTTTTGAGCTGTCAAGCTTATCGACGATGAAGACGTTCATGGCATGATTCAAATGGTTCGTAGCCATAAACTTTTTCCTTTTGCTCAACTATATGCGGATCTTATACAATAAATAATAGTCATCTACCTTCCTATCAAAACCAACCTTCTTCCAATGAAAACCAACCTTCTACCTATCAAAACCAAACTTCTTTCTATGAAAACCATCCTTATTCTTATGAAAACTAACATTCTTCTTATCAAAATCAACCTTCATTAGACAATTTTCATCTACATACAAGTTCATTCACCCACCTAGTTTCTACCCCTTTTCAAAGCACCTATGACTCACCATACCTAAACGACGATCCTTTACCACATGGATCTTTACCAACCTCCTTACATTTGGAGTCTTACAATAACAAGAAGAAGAAGGAGTTTTTGAAGAAGAAGTCAGTCCTTTTAGTGAGGGCAAAGATGATACAAGACTCCAACAAGACAAACAAGATCTTGTTCTACAACAACCTCGATACGTAGGCACATCTTCAATCACATTCAATTTCTCATCACACATGCATAATGTTGATTTATAAACAAATTTCACCGACCTTGAGTATAGACATGTACTTGACCATGTTGACGTCGAGTATGCTCCTGACACCCTGTTTCAAGGCATGACTTTTGACAAAAAGGAGGAAGTACAACATGTTTTAAACGTGCACCACATAAAGAAAGATTTGTATTACATGGTGGAGAAATCAT